AATACCTGACCTAATGTAAAGGTCCCCTTTCTGTTGCTAGTATCAATTTTACACTCAATTGACTTTGCAACATTTTGGCAAAGGGTCTACACTGACATACCAAAATGTCTCAAATGTCTCTTATTTTTAATTTCTAACAACAGAAAACAAATTGTCCCACCAGACTGGCTTGTTGTCCGGTCAAAACTTGTCTTTGGCCTGACAAATGACCTGCTTATAGACAAAAATTATGTGCAGGCTTGCAATTATGTCTAACACACATTATACTGATTGCCCAAGTGACAAGTATGGTACCGTACATGTAACTATGTTTTAATACAATGCACAACATACATGTATGTACATTCAAATGTACTTTGTCAAAGCCTATGTTACACTTAATTCTTCCTTGACTCCAGATTTAGCTGTGGTGCTAAAGATATGGGGAGGACAAAATGACAAGTTCAGACTCATTATTGATTGGGAAGTTCATTTCCCTTCCCTGCAGTATCTTGGAGATCAGGTAATTTTGACTGTAAAAAAAAATAATAAAAATACCTTTCAGTGAATAAAAATGAAATAAAGTAACAGGGTATTAAGCCAAATGATAATTCTATTTTAATGTACCAGAATATTTCATTAGTTTTTTTGCTTTGGTTTCATTTTGTTCTGTTTTCTGAATGGTGCAGGAAAAAGAAAGAGAAACTCAGTCGTAACCTTTCGTAGTAACTGATTAGAAATAAGATGAATTAATATATACTACAGTAACTGTAGGTTGTCTTAAGTAGAACCCTATCTGCACCCTACAGCACAGTAGAGTAGAGTACAACACAGTACAGACAGCATACATGTAAAGTATAGTAGAGTATCATTGATATATTAGTTGTGCCCCAATAGGTACATTTATGTTGTAGGTCAATTTGTTCTTTAGGTCAGTTTGTTTCAAACTAGGTTAATAGTAAGAACTTAGATTTATATTTAAAACAAAGGTTTAGAAGCCAGGTGTAAAAAGGTTATAAGACAGGACTAAATGTTTGCTCATCAAAAGTGTAGTCTAGATCTCTTTCCATACTCTGGTAAATTAAAATACATGTACTTAATTCAAATTGTAATTGGAACAAATTGTAATTTTTTGCTGTTGTTATTAATTTGTAAATTATACAGTTGCTGTTGTGCACCAAGTTATTTTACTGGTATTTTATTATTCATCTATTATTCAGGTGAGGTCCAGTAAGTATGGACACAACACTGTAATCTTTGGTCTTATTGATGGGTACTATGGTGCACCTGCTGTCCTGTCGTCAGACAAGGTGAGAGGGTAGTGAATGTCAAACTAAATCATAACCAAATTTGTTAATGAACTGTTAAACAAATCTGTCTGTGGATCTTTTTACTGGTGTCTCATAGAATTAATCACACTGCCATCCGGGCTTTTCAATTGTGCTGTAAGTTGATATTTCAAGGCTGATAGTGTGGTATAATGTGCTTTTTCTTTGTCATTTTAGGTTGGGAACAGTGGTGAAATGCCAGTTTCACAAAGGACTGACATCATTAAGGTTGACTCGGATCAGGTACAGCTACTACTGTGTAGTCAGAAGCCCAGATTGGGAAATACGTGACTTGCAGCCCTATCACTTTTATTGCTGGGATTTATTGTATTCTCTAGGGCTCCAGTTGACATGGATTAAATATGGATTTTTCTACTTGAAAGTAGCCTTAACATTTGTTTGTGTTGGCCAGATTTTTTTACCCTTACCACTTTAAAATGGTCTTCGGGGTCCCTGTTAGCTAATTAATCCATGGACTGTGGTGAATGCAGGAGAGAATCAAGGGGTCCATCTTCAAAAAACTTAAAAGTGAAGTTCAAATACATGTACATTATTTTGTACAAGTTGGCAACTGGTTCCTTTTTCATTCTGAATCACCACATTTTATCCAAGTAGATCATTCTTTGTTAATGATTTTGAAGTACATATAAGCCTCTTCTTCTTTTAATCTTCCTTGCTGCTGCCTCTCAAAGGCACTGACAGAAAATCATGTGAACTGTTAGCGTCCAACACCCCATCCTCCTCACCCACCACTCCCCTNCCCCCCACCCCAGTAGGCATTTGTTCCTACTTTTAATTTGCTCTTGGTGTGTGAAAGTGAACAATCTAAATCAATCAATCAATAAATACATAACATTAACATAACCTAACACTTTATTTAAGCACACAGTTATGAACTTTATTATAGTTCTAATGTTTCAAAGAACAGCTCAGTAATTTTCGATGTAAAAATAAATGTTTCCAAGAAATGAAAGATGCTAGCCATCATCACCACGACCAACAATAAAAAATTACAAATAATCTTAGTTATACTTATTAATTATTAATATTTATTTCATTTTATAGGTTCATACATCATGTAAACTCTCTTCTGTTCAAAGGTAGGTTATTAGTAGAATTCTTATGAGAAGTTAGCACTGTTCAGTACTGTACATATACTAGGTTTACCACAAGTCAACCTCATGAGTCTCAGGGTAAAATGGTGTAAGCAAGCAAAGCAAGATGTGAGGTTTTAGGCTGCAAAGGGGCTGTTTGAAAGTTGCGAGAGGTTCATCCAGCCAGTCACTAATGAACAAGGCAAAAGATGTTTCCGAAAGTGTACACAAGTCTGTGTTGGAAGTTGTCATCTCTTTCTCTACCCATCATTTTCTACATAGTTTACAATTTTCACGTGGCATAATCGTGTTTGGAGAATGGGGAAAATAAAGACTACATGTGCACTGTATGTACAAATAATCACCCTATTGACTTCCAAACAAAAAGAGGGATCAATAAAGGTGATTACCATTTGCTAACAACTCTGACTGGACTCATATCACACTGCCAATACCAATGAAGCAGGCGTAAACAACACCAAGCCATTACCTGGGCAATTCAGCGGATGATTCTAGCTACATAATTATTTAAAATGAGAAAAATTTAGCTAATAAAATTTAGTTCCAGTTTTCTCGTTTTTTATAACTTTGTTGTACATTATATTCTTTTAGTTCTTTACTAAATACTGGCTGTGCCTCAAGCAACTCTTAGACTTTTTTGCACTCTCCAAACTTTCCACATGTCTTCCATCATAACTCAATGATGAACAATAAAACTTCAATATTCTATTGTTAAATTTACATTTAAGCTTTTCTACTTACAACTGCATAAGTTGTCCCAACTACATGTATTTTAAAGTTGAGTTTGTCCTCTTGTCGATAGGCTACAATCAATACAGAAAGCCATCCTACGTTCTCAGCTGTCAGTTAAAGATGTGCGTCAGTCCATCCAGAGCAAAGTTGAATCTGATATGAAGTGCACATCACAAGTAAGTGCTACTTCAGAAAAAAAAATCAATGATTTTTAATGCTGTCCTTTAATTATACTGATTTGAAATATTTATTTATGAGCATCTGTCCATTTGGAAAGTAAGCTCTCAGCAGCTTCCTTATTTTTCATGGAGCTAGGCTAGTGAACCACCAGTAGTGAAAAGATCGCTTAATCCTTAATACAGGGCTTTTGATAGGTCGCAAAAAAAAAAGTCAAATTTCACATGATTTTCGGAGACACATTTGTGGGAAAATAAAACAAGCGATTTCACGGGAATTTTCAGGGCAAATTTCACCGAAAATCTATGGGTAAGAAATGGCCAATTTCATAGGAGTTTTTTGGTTTGTTTCCATGGCATTATCTGTGAAAGTACTGAGCTAATTTTTTTTACAATCACAGTCATCCATTGTTGCATTCCTGTAGTTGTGACATATATCTCAAATTATCAAGTTTATATAATTATAATTGTAATTTTCTCCCACCTCTGTACTGCAGTTATCAGAAGAGGAGATGCTGAAATTGAAGCTCAAACTTCTAAGAGAGGAGTGCCTGTCAAAGCAGAAACTTTTGCTGAAAGGTGTTTTTTATTGTTTTGTAACTTCACTTTTGTGATTGATATTGAAACAGCATTCCACCCTTACGTGTTAATTAAGCCATGATTAAAATAGTTGTATTATTATTATTATTTTTTTTTTTTTTTTTTTATTTTTTTGATCAACAGAAAGAGAAGAAGAGCAGAGTGTCTTAAAAAAGCTCAGAGAACGAGGTGAGATCATTACTTGGCTCTTATTAACCGAGCAGGAGGTCTGTGTAGGAGAATCTTGACCGAGGTCATGAGTACAGACTGAACGTAATGAGGTCTGTACATACGACTGAGGTCAAGATTCTCCCATACTGACCGACTAAGCTCTGTTAATAAGATGTTTATTATATGGTGCAAACAAGAACATTTTAATTCGTTGAATGTAACCGGTCTGTACTAGCCGACATTTTGCTTGCGAATAGCGATGAGCCAAACTTAATCCTGCCAAAGTTTGCTAGTCTTCTTTACTTTTTTTTCTTATCAGGCTTTTTGGCACTTCTATTAATAAATATTGTTAGAAGAAAACATTTTTGCATTTTAGTTTACAGCTTTTTCACCGCAAAACATTGCCAGTCTAGTTGCCGGTCTAGACGGGAAAATCTAGACTGCTTTCAATATCTATTTCAGCCAATAAAATTTGTGAATCCAGTAGTTCCTAGTCCTTGTGAGACACAGCCATATAGTAATGTGTGGTATCTACAGTCCTTTGTATGCATTGATAATGCACATAAGTTTCAAGGTCAGCACATGTTAAGGGTTATGTTGTGGGGATGTTAAGTGGCTTCCTGTGTACATATATGATGGATGTTACTGAAGGACATTAAGCAAGCTGCTGCACACAAAGCAGATATTGGTTCATTTCTATGTTGCCATGGGGATAGGTGTAAGAGCAGTGTGCACAATGGGACAATGAAAAATAAGGTTGTTTTGCACAAATACAAACCACCTGAATTTCATGCAACCTGTTGCGGGGACAAATCTTGTCTCCCCGACAGAACTTCGTAAAAATAGGCATGTCACGTGGCGAAAATTGTCACTGCATCATGTCCATGCCTCATGTCCCGGTAAAAGTGAAGAACAGTTCCCTGTCGGCTAACTGTCGACCAACTGTTGGGTCGGCCAACAGTGGGCCAACTTTTGGTCAACTGTCGGCCCACTGTCAACCAACTGTCAGTCGACCGTTGGTTGACTGTCAGTCGAATGTCGGCAACATGTCCCCTAGTGTGTCTCAACATATATATCTGTGAGTTGTCTGTGTATTACTGAAATGTTCGAATTTTAGTGCACCTTATTAAATTCAGTCCAAACTCTTCTCATTTTCAATACCTCACAGAAAACAACCTTGGACGGAACAAAGAAAAGCTTGACTCTAACAGAGCATCTTTGCGAGAACACAAACAAGCACATTTAGTGAAAAGGTACGTCGATTTATATCAACCCTTTGGAGGCGTGGTGGCCTCATGTTTAGTGTGCTCATCTCCAAATCGAGCAGTCCGGGTTCCAGTCCTGGCCAGGGACATTTTGTTGTGTCCTTAGACAAGACACTTGACTCTCACAATGCCTCTCTCCACCCAGGTGTATAAATGGGTACTGGCGAACTTAATGCTGGGGGTAACCCTGCGTTGGACTAGCATCCCGTTCAGGGAGGAGTAGAAATACTCCTAATCGCTTCATGCTACAGACACTGGGATAAGCACCGCCCTGATGGGCCACTTGGCTTGTATGCAGACTTTTTTATTTGCAACAGTGATCAACATTTGAAATCTTGTTTCAGTAACAATTCATAATTGGCAAGCACAGTTAATTGGTGATGAGAATATCGTAACTATCTTTTTTCTTTGTCTTGCAGAGAATCTTTCGTAAAGTTGACTGCTCACCTGAATTTTAGACGAAGGCAGCTCATCTCTGAACTAATGAATATTTACCCTATAGTTGAGGTAAGAAACAGAAAATAGCGTGTAAGGTTTTCAGTTTGTCATTATCCAACTTGGTGTAAACAGGATAGGAAAGTTTATGCACAATCGTGATCACAGGTTGCGCACGCAAAGGCATCGTTTCCTTTTATTGCACTTGTCGGATTCGCGCACTGTAGAATAGAAAATCGTATGGTTACGCATTTACTCGAATTCCCAGTAACTTTCACTGGGTCTAGTAAGTCGCTTGTTGCAACTTGTTGGAGAAAGTTTAATATATTCTAAATTAATAATTAGATTATGAGCTCGAAATTTCTTTGAGAGGCTATCACGTCATAGAAATTGAGAGCGAATAATCTAATTGTTTTAATAGAATTCTAACTGAAATTTAGAAAGATCGCTCGGATTGAATTGTCTTTAAAAGTTGCAATTGTGTGTGTGTGCGCATCATTTTTTCAATAATTTCGAACTTTTTAAAGTCAAGAAACCGTAAATGTCCTTCTTTTAGCCTTCTTAGGAATTTAATTACCATTTGCATCAAAAGGTTCCTCCAAAACTTTGGAAAAATGAATAAAACGTCGCTATTTCGTAGACGACCTCTAGCCGCTGCATACTAATGGCTGATAGTGTGCGATCACTCAATCAGATTACGGCATTTACGGTAGTGTTCAAGGTGAATTCTACTAATCTGTTTTAGATAAAGTTTTGAACGACTAGTACATTTATACTAAAAAGATCAGTCGCTCTCGATTTCTATGTGTGATATTTGACTCGGGTTGCGCCTTCTCAAGCCAGTTGAACTTTGCTATAATTAAATGGCTTTCTCTTGCAGCTACAAACTTCGAAAGAGTTTCTTATTTGTGGTGTGCGGCTTCCTAATTGTGAGTCAGACGAATTTCAAGGTAAGTCAACATTATTACACTAGTTTCTCGATGTATTATCGAAGTGCACAATCTGAATTCAGTTTAATTTGACAAATAAATATTGAAGGATTTGTGTCTGGGTAAACCGTTGGAGGTGGGGAAGTATTAATAAAGGAAGTTTCACGGGCACCGGGTCAGTGGTGCATGTTGTGATATTGCTTCCTCTCTCCGGCCCTCTAGCTTACCTCCTATTCATCAATACACCAATTTAAATAAAATCCATCAGGAGGTTACTTTTGATGCAGTTTACATGATGTATATCTTTTTTTCCAGCTATGGACGACGAGACCCTGTCGGTTGCCCTTGGTTACACGTGTCACCTGGTCAGCATGATAGCTCAGTTTCTGGATCTACCTTTGAGATATCCCATGAACTCCCGCGGCTCGAGATCCACCATTATGGATTTTGCGATAGAAAAAGTTGCGGAGAAAGACAGACAGTAAGTAAGAACAGAAATCTTTGACTTTACACGCTTGAAGAATTGCGTAGTAAATACTGCCCTTTTGCTTTTCAGATTCCCGTTGTACAATAAAGGTAAAGAAAGAATCCAATTTTATTACGGCACTTTCCTTTTGAACAAGAATATAGCCCAGGTAAGATTTTGTAAGTAGCAGGTAGCGTTTCTTGGGGTGGAATACCACGCTGCTCAGAAAAAGCCCGAACTTGCCGCTAAGACGCCTACAGTACGGTAGGTCTGTAGGTGAGCTTCAAGGAAAATTTTATTGCTAATTTTATAGAGTCAAAAGCGACCCATACGGGTTCTTACAAAGGATAACGTGACCAACGCCCCGTGTGATTTATTAGGGTTGAACTTTTATTACTGTCTATGATGTCGCTTTTTGTAAAGTGATAATGACGCTCATATACTGAGTTTGGGCCACCTGCGACAGTATCGGAACAAAATTGAACTTCATGTGTTTCAAGTTTGTCTGTATTGAAATCTTACTAGCTTGCTGTTCTGCCAAATCAAAGCATTGCCGTTAAGGTTTCATCGATCTTGGTTTCTATGGAATTGGGCAATTCGAGGAAAGCTCTCCTGTTTATTGTACTTCTAACTTTACTTAAACTCATCACAAATAGATGAGCTGAGGTTAGCAGGGTGCCAAAGCCATAAGCCGCTAGGAGGTATCCATGGCAACCCTGGAAAGCAGGAACCACCCAATGAGCGTCCGCTAACCGGCACCGTCACACTGAAAGAAATTCAGTGGAAACTACTTACCTGAAGAATACTTACCCTGACCAAGACCAAAACGGGAGGGAGGAGAGGGTGCAAGAATCCACAATGATTCGCGAGCAAAGCAGTGCAACTGATCCGCAACAATCAGCTGAATACACTACAACAATTATGCAATGAACCATGAGCCCCTGCAAAACCCCTGAAGGCCGCCCCACAGGTCACGTACTCCCAAACAGGGAAACCGCTGGCTGCATAAGCTCATATTTAACTTCCCTAAATTATATTAGCTGAATGGGCACGCTAGCTGGCTGCATTAGCTCAAGTTTAACCTTGCCTAAATGATATTTAGCCACATTTCATAATGGTTGTGCACAATAATTTTCTCTTTTGTGTTCTTAGCTTCGGCAGACTAACAGCCTGGGGACACCTAACTTACGTAACACTCTACCAAACCTAAAAGACTTACTTGAAACGAAATTCCGAACAAGGTAAGTGAGTAACGAAAGCAAAGTTGAACATTGGTAGAAATGATATGAAAAGGTCATTTTTAATACCCTCTTCATGTACAGGTACATGCAACCAAACCNAACAATCAGCAGAATACACTACAACAATATTATGCAATGAACCATAAACCCCTGCAAAACCCCTGAAGGCCGCCCCACAGGTCACGTACTCCCAAACACGGAAACCGCTGGCTGCATAAGCTCATATTTAACTTGCCTAAATGATATTAGCTGGATGGGCACACTAGCTGGCTGCATTAGCTCGAGTTTAACCTTGCCTAAATGATATTTAGCCACATAACATTTTCAGGCTAATTTCTCACTGAGCACCCGGTAACTAAGAACTTGATTAGCCTGAATCCCGAAATTATAGGTTCTTATATGCAGGTGTTTACTGTAGATCGTAAAATAGGTAGGCTTGGCCAACGGTTCCTTTGCACATGTTGGGACTGTGTCATGAAGTACTGAGTATTGCCATTTGTACTCTCCTTACTGGCTCGAGATCAAAGCCATTACCTTTGTGTTAAGTTGCAGAGTCTCTCCCTGTTCTGACGTTACAGCTACCGCTATATTCTTTGGTAGATGACTATGCCAGTCAGGCTCTGTATGACGCACATCTGTTGTTGACGGCGGCAGCAGACTTAACTTTCGTGCACCAGTGTCTGATTCCCTAGTGGCTTGGACAACAAAGTCTGAAATCTTCCTGAATCTGCTACTAACAGAGTCGTGAGCTGGCAGCGGTGACGTTAAATCGTCTCTGCCACTCCTACCCCTCCATGAATTGAGCACCGCGCTCTTCTTTCCCACAGCTGCTTCTGGTTCTTGTTGAATTAACATTACATCACGTACACTGCTAAAAATGCATCTAAAAACATAGAAATCAAACAGTAAGACGTCCAGTCCCACAAAGATGGAAGATACACCTTTCAGGCTGATGTAGATAGGTTGGGCTCCATTAAAAAAAGAACTAACACTAGCTGGCCAGGACCAAACAAGTTGCTGAGCTCTTGTTGATGACTTAAGCTTAAAAGGGAGCTATAGGCCCCAATGTACGTAACATGAGCATTTTTCAATTGAAATAGTCCCTCTAACAAAGAAATTCTCCACCAACATTCACCATCGGCGGATTGTGTCTCTGACACTGTTGTTATTACCTGAAGTGTGGCTTCACAGAATCCAAGCTGTAGGGCTGACTTAGAATCGCAAGCAGCACAGGGTCATTCACAAAACAGAAGCGAGGGAAGACCTACCGTGCAAAAAAACATACATCAGTACATAGCCATCACTTCCCTTCGTACACCAGGCTACACCAACAACCACATTCCCTCCCTCCCTTCCCAGACAAGGTGATAACGTAATGTCAAGACTTCACCACTACAAGACCCCACAGATACTGTGAGGAAAGGGCATATCTAATCAAACCAGCACGAAATCTACATGCAAGTATAGAAGGAAAATGAGTGGTTAATGAATCAAAAGCTGCCTGCATTTCTAAACAACACTTCTATAGACTTGGGAACCTACAGTACAGATGGTGAAGCGTACTATATAATAGACCATATTCGTATTCCCGGTATTAGACTGGAACTAGCTTGCAACTGAGGCTAATACGAGAAGTCTTTTCAAATGCAAATGAGATTTTTCTCTTTTTAATGATATTCCTCCACGAGCCTCCATTGCAAGCTAGTT